TAATTACTTTTTTCAATTACAAATTACCAAGCACTTTTCTAGAGTAATTGACTTTGCAAGCCCCAATTACAACTAGCACAGGGCTTTTAAGTCCTCAAAGTGCTTCAAGCCCCTTACAAGCACAAAGCACTCAAGCCCTGCCCAGCTCTGTTTGGAAGTAGTCTGAACAACAACGTTCATCAGATTTCATGAAGGCAATGCGAAACGACAATTTTTAACAATCCTTGATCAAATTTCTATAGGTACGAGTTCGAAGGACATATACATAAAGAAATTGTTGATACCTTCAAGTGTTTCCATGAAGAAGTCTATCATTTGTCAAAAATTGAAGCAAATAATTCAAATACTAATGTGGTAGATCGTGGATCTGACACTGACATACCAATCTACACAAAATTACCTAATAAAAACGTCAATGTATGAATGGAGGTTGGACCTGCATCTAAAAATATCTGTAGATTTGTTGACGTAAGTGCAGTCTTCAATAAATTGGGATCTAGTATATTTTTTGATAGAACTATATGTATCTGATTTTGATAGTACGATGTTACCACCATGCAAAACCGTGTTAAGGTTCTTGAACGGACTTTAATTTGGTTTGGGGTTACAATGATCGTAAAAAATATCGAATCGAGCATCATTGATATTGCAAAAATTGTATTTTGCGTACATTGCACAGATAAACCTTTCTATAGATTCAATTTGCTCTTTCGAAATGCCAGCATTATTTATAGTATCTACCTACTTCTTGTAGTTTCTGGTTCTATACCAAAAGGCTTCAGCTTGCCTTTTCTGGAAAAGGATGCGGTATAATTACATCCAGTAGAAGCATGAAAAGTTGGTGGAGATTTGTACATGCTGGATCCAAATTTATTAAAGATTGCACTCACGTCAACAAATCTACAGGTATTTTCAGATGCAACTCCAACCATACATCGACGTTTTTATTAATTTTGTGTAGATTCCCTAGCAGTGTCAGAACCACGAACTACCGCATTATTATTTGCGGTATTTGCTTCAATTTTTGACAAATGAAAGATTATTCGGCTGTCAGCTTCTTCATGGAAACATTTGAAGGTATCAACAATTTCTCTATGTGTACTGGGACAACAGTAAATTTGTAACAATCTTTATTGCAATTGACATATATAGTTTTATTATTTACAATTTCAACAAACATATCATTTTGCCAAAACTGACATAAAAATTTGATCAAGGACTGTTTAAAATTGTCGTTTCGCATTGCCTTCATAAAATCTGATGAACGTTGTTGTTCAGAAGCCTGAATTAAGAATTCCATACTACTTTCATATAAATTTGCTCGTTTATCACGCTCAATATCTTATTTTTATACCGACGATATGGACGATGAAATTGAAGGAATAATGCATGATTCTTCTGATGATGAACAATAGAAATTGATTTGATACCCAAAAAAATTAAAAAAGAATCTCAATATCATTATTTTTCAGATATTATTTTGTCATTTTCTCCTATATTTTGCTGAAAGTGTCCTCAACGCATGCACTACAAGCTTTTCAGCTCGTGCCATATTTTTATTAGGTAATATTATTTTGTTTTAAGTATGATGCAGTCGAAGAGTTTCTTGACTCTAAGTCATATTTCACTAATTTCTGGTTAGATTTCTGAAATTTTGAATATTTTATATGTGGCATTTTTATTATTTTTGAATGCTAAGAGTGCCTATTCACTTTTTCGTCTTTTATACCTTATACAAAAAAAATCTGCACAAGGCGATTGGGTGCTAAAATAGCGGATTAGCCACCCTAGATCTATGAGCGAAACTTGGCAACTCAGAAATCGGCAAAATGTGCCTGAGGAGTTTTCCCGAACACTTAATCGTGGAAATTCCTCGACCTGAATGACCTCTGATTGTCCCTGCAATGTCCTTTAAAAAGTCTCTGTCAAAACTCCAAGGTGGAAGGTACTGGGGATTTTGATGGTAGTTGGGGCATGGTTCTTATTCAAATTAAGTTAGTACCGGTCATTGACTCTATTTGGAGCGCTGTCAATCTAGACAATCTACTCGGATCAGACAATCAGCTGTTCTAGTGTAAAAATTGTGATTTTGTTTGTTAATAAATTAATTGTCTATTTATTTTAACCCTACTAACAGAAAATCAATTCCATTAATAAACCTCTAACTTAATGATTCTGGGAAAAATAAAAAGTTTGATTAAAAGTTTGGCCACAACTATTGAAAAGACAACAGTGGCTTGACGAGGGTATGCTATTCATTGAGGCGAATACGCTTATTTCCTTTCATTTTAACCCAGGAAAAATCATCCCGTAACAAATATTCGAACTGTTTCTTAAAGTGGGAAAAACAACAAAAGCATAAAACTCACAAGCTGATATAAAAGGAACTGAATATTTTTTTATACCTACCCCCTACACCCACTATAAAATACCAAAATCAGTATGGGGGCTCCGCCCCCATAGCAAATTTACTATGGGGGCTTGAGCCCCCATTGCCCTCATTGCCCCCATTGCCCCCCATTACCCCCATTGCCCCCATTGCCCCCATTGCCCCCATTGCCCCCATTGCCCCCATTGCCCCCATTGCCCCCATTGCCCCCATTGCCCCCATTGCCCCCATTGCCCCCATTGCCCCCATTGCCCCCATTGCCCCCATTGCCCCCATTGCCCCCATTGCCCCCATTGCCCCCATTGCCCCCATTGCCCCCATTGCCCCCATTGCCCCCATTGCCCCCATTGCCCCCATTGCCCCCATTGCCCCCATTGCCCCCATGGTTCCGGCGCCTATGAAGAGTTCCTATTCACATTTTCGTCTTTTGTACCTGTTTTATTTTACGTATTTTTCGTTTGTATCTATCTATATTTGAGTTTATATTTTTTGACTGTTTTCGACTCTCTAAAGCTCCTATTTACTCCTTTACATGTTATGTAGCTTTTTAAGTTTAAAGGAGTAGATATCTACAATAGGTATCTACTAGCTTCTACCCTTATAAAAAGTTTCGCAACTATTCTATTTTTTTTTTATGAATATGTTTTATTTTGTAGCTTTTAGGTAACGCACATGTCTATAATTTGGCCAGAATTATTTATTTTGTTAATAAATTTGTAGTTATTTATTAAATATTTCTTATTTTATGCTGTATTAACAATAAAATCTAAATTTTCTAGAGCGTCTGCAACTTATTGTTGACCGTCTACCGAATTTTAAAAAATATTTGTTTACTCTACACAAATACCTTTCATTTAAGCCCAGATTTGCAAACTTACGTCAGGCGTCGCGGCGGGCGTCTGCTTTACATAGGCGTCCAAATATCGACGTCTGCCGGCCGAATTAGGTAGGTATCTAGGAGCTTTTCCCTTACACATTCTGAAATTTTTAGGCATGTACCAATGGGGTGAGAAAACCCAGATTTTCGTCTTTTTGACGAGCGGTTATTTGTGAAGTTGACCGCTGGACCCCGGCAGACGGCCGATTTTGAGATATGCACATAAAGTACTCTCATCCAAGAAACTCGAACCTTTTGTACCCGATGAGGTGACTTATTTGCTTCTCGGCCGTAGGTCTATGATACAGATCCATACCTGGTAAACTTTGTCCATACATAGATGTGTTTTTGATTCAAATTTGCAGATAGAAGAAGAAAATAGTTCAAATTTGTTTAAAATGTATTTTCTTATGGTTTATTCTATAACAGAAAGAGAAACTGCCTTAAATGAGTGTGAAATTGCATTTCTGGCATTTTCCGCGATTTTATACTTCTTTCTCAGTAAAAATCTACCCATGCAGTGCCGTAGTCGTAAATGTGATAAAGTTTGCGTTTAACAGTAAAACAACCTAAATTAGAGTAAATAGTGATACACATCCATATGGTCATTCTTGGTTTTTTCCATTGTGGACGTTTTGTCAGTAGGAAACCGGCCGTTCCTATGACATTTTGCCAGTGTAAAACACTCTATGAAATAGTCAATCAAAAATTTAAATCCCAAATCTTGTCTAAATTTGTTTCTTTGTAGCGTTTTCTATTGGAATATCAACAGAAACTGTTGATAGGTGTAAGATTAACTTTGAACGACATTTTCCAGGATTTTTTACTTTTTTTGATTCGAAGCCTATCTATGGTACCAGCTAACCGGCATAGTCTGGGAGCAAATAGTGGGTTTACATTTGCAGTTATAGAATCAGAAAATATGATTCAAATTTGTTCCAAATTAGTGTTTTTTATTGTGGTTTATTTTATTGAAGTACCAAGAGAAAAAAACTGCCTTAAATGAATGTAAAATTGCATTACAACGACGTTTTTCGCGATTTTTCACTTTTTGTAAGTGTCGTTTACCGCCCGAAATGTTCGAAGACCGTCGCGTATTTGCAAATCTTCCAAAAATCAACAACTTTAAATTTTTTTCAAAAGAAAAGGAAGCGGTAAGATCTACAGCGCCAGAATATAACACAAAAACTGACTTTTTTTCTACCTGCTGAGTAAATTTGAAAAATCTGTTAGATAACATAATTAATTTCCAATTGCTACGTCACACAAAAAGTCTCAAAACGATAATAGACATCTTATTAAAGTAGACGTTTGCAAAGATATTCTGTCATGCCACAGAAAATGCTCAAGTTCCTGACACGTTGGCAAATGCGCTCACAATCAAACTTCTATTTCCAAACTGGTAGAACATAGATTTAAAACGATTTTACTAAATTTGTAGGTAATTAGTTTAAATTTTTTGATGTTGCAAAAATACTCTGCTTGTATTATTTATTTATTTTGTTTCAATTTCCAATCAAAAATATTGGGTCCAAATACCTGCTAAGATTAAGCTAATCCCCTAATATTACAACCAATTCTTGTAATGTAGTCCAAGTAAAGTGATTTAAAAGATTAACACGGATTAACTCGGATTAACTTGAGCCTTTGCGGGTATTTAAAGCTGCCAAGTGCACCATTGCAGTTCAAATCATTCAGAACTTTGAGGCAACGTTATTCCTTGCTTTATTAATTATGTCTCCTCTTTCCGAGATTCAACAAGTGCAACTTTCATCTTCAAGTGAAAATAGTAATAGTAGTGCTAGCAGTAATTCTGACGAAGAACCTAATAACGCCAACGAAAAGCCAATTTATTCTTATAATGCCCTTATAGTTATGGCTATTAGAAGTAATCCAAAAAGAATGTTGTGTCTCAATGAAATCTACCAGTACATAATGACGAATTTTCCGTATTACAAATACACGGCGAAGAAGCAATCGTGGCAAAATTCCATACGCCACAACCTAAGTATCAGTGGATATTTTGTTAAAGTGCCAAGACCCTTCAACGATGGCGGTAAAGGAAATTTCTGGGCTTTGCATCCTTCAGCTGATACGATTTTTATTGGTGAAACTACAGGGAAATTAAGGAAGGGCGTCACTCCAAGCGCAGAAGTGCAACATGCACAAGCAATGGAAGCCTACCAAAGACATACCCAGCAACAACAGTACCATCACTACCAGCAAATGCTTTACCAACAAGAAATGCAGATGAGATACGAGCAAATGTTGTATTCCAGGCAATTTGTGCCAGCTTTGCCGACAACACCAGCAATGCACTATCCACATTTTGGTGGAAATGGATTTATGGGTTAGAAAAAGTAAGTTGTTTTGAATTTTGATTCTCAATTGTTTTGTTTGTTAACATTTTTAAAAATTTTATAACTTTTTAATACTCATTTATCATTTGTAAATTATTAATTTATAATCTTTTTATAAATACGAATTCCTAACAATTATTTTTGTGCAATGTAATTAGGTAAGGCAGTTGCTGCTTTTACTTTAGATTCTAAGATTGTATAAAAACTGTATATAAATCCTAATAATTTATAATAAAATACTTATATTGATATTATTGATATTGTATTTATAAACCTCATATTTCAAAGAAAAAGTGACTGTACAAATCAAGATGTATCTATTTAGGCATTTAGTATCCGATTATGTTAGTAAAAAACTTTCACAATTATTTATTCTATTTTTCAATAAAGAATGTAATACTCACCTATTATGATTATGTATTTATGTTCTGTTTTTTTTTTTTTTGGGATTAAAATATATCCTATGTTAGTTTGCAAAATTATTTGTGTTTTTATTATGAAATACCTATGCCTATACAGGGTGTCCCACAATCAGCGTTACAGGCCATAACTTTCTTATTTTTAGAAATAAAAATTTGAAAGAAAAAAAATATCTAATGGTCAGTTAACCTCTCTTCAAAGATATAAAAAAAAATCTACTGACAAAACCATCCCCTATTTACAGCCATTGACTTTTTTTCTCAAATGGCACCCCTAATATTTATTTTTATTTACGACTGACATATAATGTAAGTATTAAATTTGTGATTTTGGCAGTATAATGCCATATATTATTCCCGCAGCAAAATAATGACGAGGGATTAATGGTCATTATTCCCGCTTGCACACCAATAAGAAAATTTCTTCAATTAAATAATACCATGGAAACTTCTATGATACAAACAAAACAAACTCAAAAGTGACAAGTGTCAAACGTATAGTGCTTGTGTTTTATTCATATCGTCGAGATAGACGAAAATGAAGATTCTATTACTTGTACACCTCCAGAAATTTTAAAAATAGCTGCAGTTACAACATCGAATCTAATACCGGAAACATCGAAATTTACTTACGAGAAAACGTACGCCAGCTTCAACGAATGGCGTTTTCGAAACAAAACAAACTCGTTTTCCGAAAATGTTCTGCTGGCGTATTTTGCGGAATTTAGTTCAAAATATAAACCATCGTCATTATGGTTATTTTATTCGATGATAAAATCCATGTTAAAAATAAACCATGACATTGATCTGGAAAAATATGCCAAATTACAAGCATTTTTGAAAAGAAAATCGAAAGGATTCCAAGCAAAGAAGTCTTCCAGGTGGTAAAACGCTTTAGTACAACACGTAGTTTCTTAAGCTGCATTTCTAATGTTGTAGTTAGCCTTATTGGACCGATTTCAATATAAAAATAACGGATTATATTAGTTTTCAAGAAAAATCTATAAATTAAAGTGGTTCTATTTTAAGGTGCGAAGTTTCAGGTTTTGATAGGACAATCCTATCAATATGGCGGCCTAGGTCAATAGTGAAATTAGCGCTATAAGGATTTCATTTACCTTCAAAAAACCGTGACGTTTGTATCATAAAACTGATTTCTGTGTATTTTTTGGTGTTTTGAGGTGATTTTCTATCGCTTGAGAAGGTTAATTTCTGTATTTTATGATAGAGAGCTTTATCCTAAGAAGTTAATATGTTATTAAGTGTTTATTGTCCCTTGAGCGCGTTTTGTTTTTCAAAAAAAATGCCAACTTACGAGGACTAAATTGCACTAGACGAACGGTTAATTATCGGTTAAGGTTAGGTAAGTCTGCAATCACCTAAAACAAAAATAATGAAGCATTTTTTTTAATGGAGACATTTGCGCCAAATAATTTTTATTAAAAACTCTTATTAAGAGTTACATAATCATAAAAAAATTCAATAGTGTCATATTAGGTGAAGGGGCTATAATAATTATTAATTACCTTTATATCGATAAAAAACAACCAACTACAATACGTCATATCGTAGGAATTTCCTAAAAAAAAAAAATACTTTATACCACTCGAAAACTGCAATTAATAAGGGCAAAAAAAACTGAAGAAAAAAAATATACAATAAAGCGTAGTTTATAAACAAACACACATCCCCACAGATAATAGATGTTTGACCTATGCCGCCATATTGAATTTAATTTTTGGCAGGTCGTTGGATTACCTAATAGGACGATTGAATAATACGTATGCGCACCATCCAGAGAATGTTGAGGTGGTGACGTTTGTGTGTCACACGTCTCGTCTTTAATTGACAATTGACGGCCATATTTGATTATCTTTTTCTTATGTGCTTTGTTTAAATATTCAAATATGAATGTTAATATCCATTGTATCGAAGAGTTATTCCGTTTATTTACAAATCCAGACGATGGTGCAATTATCAACCTTCTACAACAATCGGGCCTTCTTAGGAGAAACATGCGTTGTCTAACGCAAAATTGTAGAAGGTATTGTAGTCTTATTAGAAGAAAGGCCGTTGTATTGGGACATTCCTTTCACTGCCGTTATTGTAGGAGAAGTTTCAGTGTTTTAAAAGATTCTTTTTTCATGAACATGAGGATACCTATTAGGAAAGTTCTTTGACGCCAGCGTCAGTGGCATCCAGACTTATGAAAATTAAAGCGTCAACAATACACCAGCATTCAGAGACATTGTCAGTTGGAAGCTATTACGCGTTCCAGAACTATTCCGTATTGGTGGTGCAGGTCATATCGTTCAGATAGATGAAAGTGTTATAACAAAAAGAAAATATAATGTTGGACGCATTGTGGCCCAAGTATGGGTGTTAGGACTGGTGGACGTTACTACCAAACGTGGAGTATGGTAGTTTATATACCTAACCGATCAAGGGATGTGCAGGAAATACCCTTACCTACTAAGTTTATGTATGTAAGTATATATGTTTAGTTTGTTCCATATATTGTTTCCTTTTCGATTTATTCCTCTATTAAAATATCAAGAGAGTCTGTTCTAAATTGTTCTATGTCAACGACATTTTCCGCGATTTTTTACCTCTTCACAATAATTAAAATTTATCAAAAATATTACCTTCTAAAATTTCCGTTTGGCAATAAAATACAAGAAACTCGACTTTCTGGTCATACAGATTTAAAGTCTGTTCCATATATTTCATTTCAACGACATTTTCCGGGATTTTTCACTTCTTTTTGATTAAAATCTATCTACATCAAAAATACGGCGATTGCATTTAATGTTTAGTATGAAGGTTTACCAGTTTAAAATACTGTTCTTAAAATAAATTTAACTATTCTTCTTCTTCCTTCTTTTAATATCATCAAATATTTATCAAATTATTTTTTCATAGTGCTGAGGGATTAAAAAAGATTAAAATTGCAGGCAGAGATTATCGAACGGCAGAAGCATTGGGTGTCTAATATATGTAATTACTTTTTAGAAATGAGATTATGTATTTAGCAAGGATTATCAACAAGTTTTTCAATGTTTTCAAAATAGTTCTTAGAAAAGAACAATTATTGATAGAAGGCCTAAATCCCATATCATCGTTACAAATAATGTGTCTTTAATGGCCATTTCCACCAACTATTTTAAGGACGCTCTAACGATAGGTACCTATGCCTTAAACTGACATTTCTCCATGGAATACTGTCATTTTAAGGAATACTTATCGTTAGGGCTCCCGTAAAATAGTTGGTGGAAACGGCCATAAGTGAAGTAAAAAAAGTAGATCAAAAATATTCTTGAAATAATTTTACAGTATACAGAAATGCTAGAACAAGATGAATGTATTTCATTGAAACAAATTAACGACAAATTTCTAAGTTGGTATTTGTAAAAGAGTATTTAGAAAGTCGCCAACCACGGTACAAGGCTTGCATCCCATATGATCACTTTGGCTCCCCACAGGTCCATAAGTATAATAGCCAGCCAACATCCATTGTACATAAGCCTATCTCTACTACCGGCTTTCAAATGAACCGGTAGTCCGTCATCTTGAGTAAACTTTTTTTGAGTATTCTTTATTCTGAAACAACAAAAAAATTAACAAATCAATAACTAGCATTAAAAAAAAAATCAAGTTTATCATAGGGACACGAAAACAAAAGAATGTTGTCGAAAAATGCTGCCAGAAATAAAATGAACAGCAGAAATTAAATCATTTTATGAAACAAATAAGAGAATCCACAAACGAGACTACACAAGAATTCAGAAATATCAACGAGATATGATGATACACAGGAGTACAAGATTCTGTGGAAGCGATTGCGTGTCTAAAGTCGCCAGACTAGGAGATAACAGTTGGACGAAGAGGAACATAGAGTCATATTACTTCAGGAATATGCGTAGACCCCCAACTCGTTGGAGGGACGACATTAAGACACTGAAAACTGGTTGCTCAGGTTAGGGAAGAGTACGAAGTTTGAGAGAGGCTTTTGTCCAGCGATGGAAAAGATGAAAGGACGATGATGATGACGTATCAAAAAAAAGTAGTACAAAAATTATTAACCCCGATTTGAGCTCCCGGTGTAACATACAAAATTTTGACAGTAAATAAAAATTTCAAAGTATTTTGAGTTCAGGCAATGACATATTTTAGGTTGAAAACGCGTGGAAAAATGCCAAAGTAATGTAATCTGAAGCTTTATAGGTTAAAAACTTGTCGAAAAAAGCCAAAAATATATCATTTTTAATTATGAATTAAATTAATGTATAATAGACCAGGGTCCTTATTCTTGAAAGAGGGGAGCAGCGAACAAAGACAGAACACTCGTTCTCCTGGGAACGCTGCTCCCCTATTTCAAGAATAAGGACCCAGGAGATTTAGAAGATTTTTCTCGTACTACTTTTTTATGATTAAATCTGTACCTATAAATTTATAACTTTGTATTTTGTTAACTCATTTTTGAAGTTTGACATGAAAAATTCAATATCATGAGTGGTTTAAATCGGTTTTAAAAGCATAGTTTCGCAAATTGAACACATCAAATTATTAGTTTTAAGGTAGTTCTTACATGTTGTGGCCTGGCACTGGAGTTCCCGACAAAGTTCTTCGGCCAGGATTGAATGCTCGAAGGCACTTCAGCGCAAACTTAGGATTCATTATTTTTGAGGTTTTCAAATTTTTAACAGACAGATTATAAGACAGATGTCCTTTTAAAGCTTGTGTCATACACTGACTGGTACCAGAATTCATAGAAACCTACTTATCAATAATTTGTGTATAACTTTGGGCGTATTCAGATATAATATGAGAGCTTATACGGAGCAGAAAGACAAAACTTATAGAAAATAAATAAAATAACAAGCAACACACTTTTGCTGATGTTGGTCAAAATCTGTTATCCATTTGATCTTTCTGCTTTATACAGGGTGTCCCAGCTAAAACGAAACAGAGGAGTTTTTGCATATTTAAAATTATTTAAATGAAAAACACTCGGACACGTCGATTTTTGCATCAAAGCGGACAGCTTTCAAATTCCTCTTTAATGTCCTACCTTAGCGGGGGCGCGTTCAACCCCTAAAAATTAAATAGGGAAAGTGGGTCGACTGACCATTTAAATGAAAGCTCTTTAAATTCTCTTTTCAACGGTACCACATATATTGACATATGTGTCAAAAAATTTGACAATGACGCGTCCCACCCAAAACGAAACAAGGCAATTTATAGTCCAAGAGCCCAGAGCCGCCAGACACAACTTATTTTCTAAAGGACAGAATATGTGGGATTGAGTAGCACTTATAGGTACTATGAACGTATGTATACTCGCTAAGTTGGGTAGACGGCCAGTTGACTGTTATTTGTAAATAACGGTTTTTCCCATTATGGGAAAAACCGAATCCCATTTCTACTCTAGATATCTCGCTCACTCTCAAACGCATGCATAGTACCCTCGCGCTCACACTCACGGAAAAACTATTATTGCGTCTGGGGGGATGTTTGGACGGTGCGATTGGTCTGGCTGAGCACACGTAGTTATGAAATAGTCTCCCCAATAACATGTATAAAAATCAAGCGTTAGAAAAAATTTAAAGTATTTTTTAAGCTTTCGCACCTGGTGTCGGTAAATTGGCCGTCTACCCAACTTAGCGGGTATACATACGTTCATAGTACATATAAGTGCTACACAATCCCACATATTCTGTCCTTTAGAAAATAAGTTGTGTCTGGCGGCTCTGGGCTCTTGGACTATTAAAGGCATTTCTCGTTTTAAAAGCAAAAAAACGACTAACACGTGAAATTTATGTTCGACTGGAAATTAATCTGCGAATATTTTTCAACCTCTAAGTTGAAACCCCACGCAGCGGTGACATCCACCCTTAAAGTCTCAAATGGAATGAGGGGATGAAAGGCACCTCATTTGCAAGCTTATTACTGCTTCTTTTCAACGCTGTCTCATTTCAGGAATATCTTTGAAATTTTCGTGGAAAATTATGAAAAAATAAAACTTCTCTAAAAAAATTCCATTAAAGACTTCTAATAAACAAAATAACATCGAAGATAACATAAAAAATGTAAACAAGTTTTTAATAATGTGGAGCTCTATTGTTACTAAATTAATACTCTAGAACAACTAATTTACTAAACGTTCAAACTGAGCACCGTCTGCAGCCATGCAAGAATACAGGTTCTTTTTAAAGCGATCGCGAACATTTCGTAATATTTCTGTTATCAGCGCGCACTCATCTACAATTCGTTGACGTAATACTTCTAGTGTCTCCGGTTGAGTGACATAAGTTTTTGTTTTCAGATGCCCCCGAGGGGGATTTTATTGTGGTAATTTAGTGTACACAATCGTGGTAATTAGTGGAAATTTCACGGGAAATGAGTGGTAATGACTGGAAATTAGTGGTAATGACTGGTATTAAGTGGAAATTAGTGGAAATATAGTGGTAATTCGGGGTAATTTTTGGTAATTTGAGGCAATTTAAGGCAATTTTGGGGGTAATTAAAGGAAATTTTGTGGTAACACCTCAACGTTCTGTAGTGATAAAATTATGATATGCCTTCGAATTTGCTTTAATTTAGAAGTAACAGAGCTTTAAGGGGTATCATCAGTGAAAAATTATTTCGATGGCGCGGTCGCCACTAGACCATATTTTTGCATTGGCAACAGTGCCTTCTTCGTAGGTAGGTAGGTACCTAACTTGTCGCGTGCTAATATTGCTTTTCCCTTTCAATGTGAAATAATTACCAAGAATGACTTATAATTTGGGGAGTAATTTATGACATGGGCATCATAATAATATTTTTAATATAGGTCCGAATAAACAGTTTTGTTGGACAGCTAAAGCGAACACTTTTTGAAAAACGGTGGAAAAATAAATTCACAAAGAAACTGTGTTGAAATTAAAAACAGATTTATTCAAAAAATAACTAAAACAATCAACAAATAAAGGCCCTGTCAATCATCCCGAGCAACATCTCTTATTTTTAGTCCTCTCGTGAATCTTGGATCAATTATTCTGTCTGAGTAGACATTTGAAATAAAATTGTTTCAATAATGGTTCCATTTTCTCTTCCCAGAATAAATCATCTCTCTCTATCTGAAAAAAATAAGCAATAGATAATATTAAACATTTTATAAAAATATGGCAAAAATCATACCTTTTGTACAAGAAATCCCAATGGCGTCCAGACTAGAAAATTACAATATTTCCTTTTGGTTATGTGTAGTTGGCCCTGAATTTGATAAAAATAATTGTGGTTTTGCTTTACCTCAAGTTTTCCATTATTCAGGGTAGCAAAAATTATTTTTTTTTGTTGAATCGCCTCTTCTGGCGTCATTTTTTCCGCTGAGGAAGGACACTTCACTTCAATTATCCCCTCCTCCTGAATAAGTCCATCTGGACTAGCTGCCAAAAAACAATGTTTTTTATCAACAAACAAACCACAAGGCTCCACTATTTCTTTTGTGTAGGTTTCGTATGCTTTTATGGCTAACGGTTCTTTTTCTGTTCCATATCTTGTTGCAGAACTTCCCATAAATTTAGAATATAGAAGATTCTTCACACTATTTTCGCAACTTGTTGTTTTCCTCATTTTCCAGACAGTTCCAAAATTAGAGGCGGTTAGCCGGAGGCGGTTAGCCGGAGGCTCCTTTCCTGCTTCCACAGTGAGTTGCCAGATTGACCTCTCGTTTCCCTTTCCAGCTTTTCAATTTCTTCTCCTGACTTTTCGAGCTCCTTTAAAAATATATTCTTTTTAAATTGGTACTGTTCTTCAGTTAGATCCGGTTCGGCAGTAGCATCTGGTCCATAATCTTTATCAGGACGATGCGCATTTGTTTGTTTTACACTAAATAGCCTTTTTCTTTTTTTATGGACACTGCTATCTCCATCTCCAACTAGTTTCAGGTATATTAAACCATACATTTCCATGCTTCTTTTGAACCCCTCACAAATTATATAACTCTCCATTCCTGTTGAAGTTCCTTTCCAGTTTTTGTAGCAAGCATGGCCGGGAATGGGGGATACATTTTTTGCCTCCGCATGAGCACAACAGCTGCAATACTTGTTATGGATTCCCAAAAATAGCAACTTTTTTGTTCTCGCTTCAACAATGCATGCCTAAAAAGTAAATACAAAATTATTTTTTTCTACTGACGTTTCATAATAGCAACTTTTCGATTGTCATTTCAGTTTTGAAACGACATTCTTTTAGGCACTGAGTGCGTGAAAGTTACTTTTAGGCACTCAGTGCGTAAAAGTGACTTTTGAATGCGTAAAAGTGACTTATGAGTGCGTAAAAGTAATTTTTAAGCACTAGTGCCTAAAAGTGTCATTCATTATTCAGAAATAAAAAACACACTAAACACATATTTGAATTTTGTTTTGTATTTATTATGAATATTGAAAATGGAATTACTGAATTGAACGTTTGGGTTACTCAAAACAGAACTTTGTGTTATTACCTACTTTCTAGGATTTTAATTATTGATGTCGAATTTTCAAAAGAAAATCGCATGAAAAGTGTCAGGTGGCAAGTAAAAGCAGGTAACAAAGATTTTGGGTGTAATCGACTTATTCACATGAAATAAAATTGTATTTTTTTATTATAAAATGCCAGTAGAAAAAATCTTGTATACAATACGTTACGAAACGATGTCTTTTAGTCACTCGACGTGTTGTCCAACTCGGCTTTGCCTCGTTGGACAATTTTCACATCGCGTGCCTAAAAGACGCTCATTTCGTAACTTATTGTATAAATAGCTATAGTAATTACCTACTTCGTTTTAAAAAATATAAATATTTATAACGTTGTTTTAAACTGTATACTTACTGCTCCTGATGCGGCATCATAATTTACATTATATGAACATTTTCCCCATGCTCCATCAGCTACCACGGTAATCAAGGGAAACTTCGTCTTTTTATCAACTTCGCCCAAATCTCTCGCTAATTGAGCTTCTTTCTCGGCAGCTTCCTTCATAACAACCCACGCTGTTTTTCTTATAATACTACCAACTTTTTCATGAAAAGATTGATATGTATTGGGCGACATGAATGGAATATTTAGCAATGCCATGATTTCATCAGGTGTGGAATATCCAATCCCAGTTGATATTGAAGCTACCGTCAATGCTTGGTTTATACTCATTTGTCCTGTTTTTGTTTCAACCAAAGGAAGGAGCTTCGTTATATTGCACATGGAACTTTTTAGTTTTTAGGTACTCTCCAAGCCTTTTCTGTGCTCTCCAACGATGATCATGTTCGCGAATGAGCAACCGAATAATGGTCCATGGTAATTTAGTTCCTTTATGGTTTGAAATAAATATGGTAAGTCTACAATTCTTCTCCCTTCCGGAGTAAAAATGGGATCGGGGTTTGATTGACTGAAAAAGAGTTATTGATAGTTAAAATCTCGGTTGAAATATAAGAAATTGTTTGAAAAATAACATGCATTTTCATTCACCAACCTTTCCGGTTCTTTTATTTCTATATTTAATTCAGGATCCCAATGACTACATCCTGGTTGAGGAGATGTATTAGAGAGAGATGTATCCTTGTTTTTACTAGAAACCCTGATAAGTGGTGGGCTGCAAAATATTAAAGAGATATAAATATGTAAGGGGAAAAGAAGCAGAATCTTGGAAGCATTTGAATAAAAAAACTGACCTTGGAATGGAAGATGGTTTTGCAATATTCTCTTGCGCTCTTGC